GTGCACGAATCTCATGCACCAGGCCTCTAGTCTATAATAAGCGAGTTCCCGTCCTGACTTGGCCACTACCGGCTGCCCTGAATCACTTCACCTCTCTCTGTCTAATGAGTAGAACTGAATATTAGGTGTGGAAACAGTCAATCCTTAAGCTGTCATGGGCCCCCACTAACTGATCATGGTGCTCAGTCCCACTGAGACCAAACCCCTCCTCAGAATTCTCCTAAACACGGTGCTCCATGGGCCCTGGCCATGATCACATAATGACAGCTGGTCTGTAGAATCCCTATGTGAAAGTCCACTTGAGCTCCCCTAGGATTTAGCCAACTCTAGCATGCAGCTTTAAATTGCCCCTGTCCTGTTTCCATCCTTGGTCTTAGCTGTATCAATTATGCCAGGATAATAGATTCTTTGAAATTCTTAGTATTCATTTCCTCAAGGTCAAAATGTAGTTCAAGTGAAAAGGGAGAGAGGGATGGAGGGGGGAGGAGGGAGGGGGGTAGGGGATAGAGAGGGAGGAGGAAGGAAGGGAGGGAAGAAGGGAGAGGGGCAAAGAGAGAGGGAGAGAGATGGCAGAGCTAAGGAGACAATGAGGAGAGACTCTCGGAGAAGCCCAGGCAGAGGCGGTGGCTTTCCTGTGCGAGACGGGGGCTTCTCACGGCTCCAGACTTGTATTTGCGAACTGCATTTCATGCTCCGTTTAGCATCTAGCCAACATCAGTATGGGTTTTGCTTGTTAAAGTATGTGTACACACACAGAGCCAACATTCTGTTCGTTTCTTGAATTTTTTGGGGGGGATCCACTTAACATGCCCCACTGCGCCAGCTCATCTGCTCACCTGGCTCGAAATCAAATCACTACTGAAGTCTAAGCTTTCAGATTCCAAAAGCAAAATCACTCCACTCTGTGACAGCAAGAATGTCTCAGATATACCCTGGAAAATCGTTAAAAGAACAAAAAACGAAATTAACAGCAGTCTGGTTAATACTATTTTCTTATTTAATAGTCCATTTAGACACACATTAAGTATTAAGCATACCTGTAATATAGGACCAGAATACACACACACACACACATATTCAGCCTGTCAGCCCTTCCTGTCCCTTGGCAGACATCACTAGTCAAACACAGACTTTTGCTCTGAACCTGGAAGCAGCCTGAAAAACTGTCAACACTGTTCTTCAGCTGATTCTTTCCAACTGACCAGGGCTGGCCGTGAGCCACCTCCCACTTGTCACCCTGCAATGAGGAAGAGACTGAGGGCAAACCAGACCCCTCCTCCTCTCTGCCAGCTTCCTCGCTTCAGCAACTGCAAGCACCTCCTTCCAAAAGATTAGACACTCTCAGCCAGACATCCCCTGAGGGCTCCCGGACTGTGAGAGGGCACAGAGCCTGAGGGGCATATTGTAATGAAGAAAATGCAGGTGCCTGGCCCTCCCCTCCCACTCACCAGGTGAGAACACTGAGGCTCAGAGAGTGAAGGCTGTCCAGCCTCACATCAGTTCACAGGAGAACTAAGAGGAGCCTGAGCTGAATTAACCTTTTCTACGCATCACACCGCCTGGGCCGGGGCTGGCCATGAAGGTGAAGGAAAAGGTTCCATTTCTTTAGTCAGCCTCCTCCTGTTCTCCTCTTTCCAAGAGAGTGAAAATAGCTTTGGTGTGCGTCTCTTATGTTTCCTCTCACCATCTGTCTCTCAAAAATAAACATGTTTTTTGTGGCCAAAATGGAAGGAGAGAGAAGTCCTGGGACTTCATATTGGCTAATGTGGTGAAATTAGACCCTCCAAAGACTCCCTTCTGCTTTGGCACCGTGGTCCCCAAACCTTTCCCTCTGTCAAGACCTGCAGAGATCGTTTATTTTTATTCAGTGATCTCAAAAACTGGACATTAGCCCGGCCGGCGTGGCTCAGTGGTTGAGTGTCTACCTATGAACCAGGGCACATGCCTGGGTTGTGGGCTCAATCCTCACTAGGGGGTGTGCAAGAGGCAGCCAATCAGTGATTCTCTGTCATCATTGATGTTTCTATCTCTCTCTCCCTCTCCCTTCCTCTCTGAAATCAACAAAAAAATATATATTTTTTTTTTAAAAAAACTGGACTTCAGCTATCTGGTTCTGGAAGAGCTTAAGGTGTTTAATCTCTATAAGTGAGCACATCTGACCTAGAACCTACCATGCAATGTTTTATGCTAATATCCAAAAGAAAAATGTATATCATAACTTTAATTTTTTTCTATGCTTAAAAGAACATTTAAAAAAACAACCCTGCTAAAACCCTCAAGTAACAGAGCTTTACTATCTTAGATATCTTGACACAGTCACTTTAAAACTTGGCAATGCTATTTCCATAGGATCTCAACGTAGCCAGAACCAGAGGCTAATTTTACAACAGCACTGTGGTCTCAGGAGTTCTTAAATGATGCCACTGACATTGTCACATCACAAAGAAATGAGCAGACAAAGCCAAGGAAGTGTTCTTTAAAGGGGTTCCAATACTCCACCCAATACGAACCGAACACTGGCCAGTAGCTGACTTCCCAACATGACCCATCACCATCAGAATAGGAAAACCTCAGCTCAAAATGATTTATGTTTTAAGGTAATCTTCAAAAAGTACACAGCTTTAATATTTTTTAAATATAATGAGTAACATAAAGATGTGTTTTCATTTTAATTGTACAAAAATATTTTTATACTCATACAACTATCAGCTACACACCCAAAATCCGCTAGCTATTTAACTGGAAAGGAGACCATCAGATAACCTTTGAAAATGAAGTAATTCCGTGTGCCAAGAACATCGACGGTGCTGCTGATTTATATGGAGTTCGGAAACACACACAATATACAATAAAATTGGTTCTGGACGGAATCAATGACAACTTAAAATATGTCCGAGAAACACTGCAACTAAGATACAAGTTACAAAAATAGCAAAAGGTGCTAGATCGATGTACTGAATAAAACTGAGAGCATGCTTACAAAGAGAAGAATCAAACCAGAAATCACCGACGTACTTCTGTGCCCCGTGAGCGAGGCTAACAAAGGAGCCACACAAAGGCTGTAGGATCCCAGCACCAGCAGTGTCAGTAGAGTCGCATCGTAGTGCCTCTCTGAGCCGGCCGGCGGGGTGAGTGTCGAATTGATAAAGATGTTGGAAGAGATATCCGTTTCTGTGCAACTGCGAAATCCTCCTGGTACAGTCATTTAAATGGGTCAGAGCAAGCTCAGGCAGGAAAAGCTGCAGCCATGTTCGCTCCCATATCCTTCATGCCTGTTCTTAGTGAATTGGAATTGGGGGGCGGTATCTGTGAGCTCCAGGGCACCGCACAGAACAGATCAGACCAGCCAGCAAATCCCACTGAGAAAGAGACTCAGTGATCTGGACGCTTACCCTGCAGCAGGGACACATCGCCGCTCAGCAGGCTCGGTGGGTGGAGGGAAAAGCCCTTTGTTACAAGACAAAAAGGAGAGGACAAAAGCATTGTACACCCTCCTCAGGAGTGTCAGACTCGCCACGGAACCGGTGGCCATGTCAACATGGCTGTCAATGGGAAAGGCTGGGTGGTGACACGACAGAGCGTCTGCCTCCAGTGTCACAGATTCCGGCGTCGCGGGGTCCCCCGGGAGCACGCTGCTGATGCTGCTGATTGTTAACATTCGCGTTGCACACAGAGGAAGTGGCAAGCGCAATGGCCTTGACATAACACACGTGCGAATCACCTTTCCAAATGCCTAATTCTCTGCTCCGTGAGAGCCCCTCTGATTTCATGCTACAACGTCAAGTCCAGACAATAAGCAGAGAGGAATCCCGTTCCAGTGTAAGTAACACGTTCCGGCGTTCCTAGAGTTCTGGCATCCCGCTCCTTCCTAACACCAGACGAGCTACTGCTGCTAAGCGAGCTCTCGGAAATGTGCTCATTAATTCAATGCCACATCCTCCCCAAGCGCGTCCTCAGTTCTGTTCACATGCTGGCTGAGTGCCCCTGGCCCGGTGACAACCTCTCCGAGCCTGAATTACCTTATATATATAATCAATTACAATAGAAATTATTTGAGAGAAAAGAAATGAAATAGTGTATGGTAACCCTGTAATATGCTCCTCTACCCATGACTGCTTTGTCCCTGACCCCTCACCAGAAAGAAGAAATTGATCCCTCCTTAAAGAACTCCCCTCCTCCCCCCACAACCATACATCTGGTTTCATCTGCTATTCTAGTTATCCATGTACATATCTTCCTTCTTCTCATCTCCTTTTAGAGAAGCGCCATTCTTTTATAACCTGTACCTCTCATTGCATCTGTCATGATGCCTGCGCACAGCCAGGCACTCCTAAATTGTTCAAATTAACTAACTTTGTGAGAAAATTTAAACGAGCAAAGAAGTACCAAGACCAAACACACCTTTTGAATGAAAGGGAGCACTCAATTAATTCACCCTTTTTATACACAGCAAGCAGAATTCACATTAGCAACATTAAACATATCCTCCTGAATTTAAATTACGTAAAAGTAGGCTTGAAATTCTAATATACTAGTCATATAGCACTGAATCCAGCATCCAAAGATTCTAAAGCACACATCCACAAAATGTGGTCTTTTACAAAATAAATGGAGCTGAAGTTTTCTTTTTCCTGGTTCCCAGTTGGGTTCCAATGGCCCCCTAGATTGCTTTCTTTCCTTAAACAAACCAAAAAACACTATCACTTCAAATGACACACTTTAGAATCCCTATGATAAAAAATACCAGGTCCCATTAACACCAATATTTCAATGTTTCATAGCACATCCATCAAAAGACAATGTTGTTGAAAGAATATTTTCCCTGCCAAACTTTCAGAGCAAAAAAAGGGGGGGAAAATTGGGAGAAGAAGCAGCAGCAAGCATATGTTCTCGTAAATCACAGAGCCCAAAAGCCTAATGATGATTTGCAGGGCACTGGTTTTTCATATAACGACCGTTTCAACAACCCCCAAAGAATGACTGACATATGACCGACTCACAATTGCTGCTGTAAGCGTTCAGGTCGCTGTGGGTGCTGGCGATGGAGGAGGGGCTGCCTGTCCGCCGGAGCGCAGAGCTTTTCAGGGACGCGTTGGACTTCGGAAGCGGTCGAGGCAAATTCACCCAAGACGGCTGTGCAGTTTTCAAAGATGTAGGTTTTCCTTGAGGGGTAAGAAAAAAAGAAAAAAGTTTCTACTGCTACTCATTTTGAAAGTTTTAAGCTTATAAACGCAACCTCCTGCACTAACAACTGACTGACAACGTAAAATGACTATTCCTAATCATGTAACTGTAGGTGAAGTCTTCACCTAGACTTATGTATTGCTGATTTATTAGAAGCAGACGAGCAGAGATGATGGTGAGGCAAGCAGGCTGGCTGTAACCAGGGAACCTCACGAAATTAACTCATGTGTTCTGTGACACAGTGGCAGATCAGAAAGAGCCATGGGAGATAGAAGCTTTTGGCAAAATTAAAATCAAAGAATAAACAAATTGATATGGCTCCCCCCATGCTGTTAACTAAAAAATAAACAAATGATCCCATTCATGCATGAGGCTTCCATATTAAAAAAAAAAAAATGAAAAATTTAGAACAAGCAAACAGAAAGGGGAAAATAAATGCATCTGATGAAGAAAAAAAACCTTCACTTAAAAAATACCTAATGTCTAACACCAGGTGGTGCTATATTACCAGCAGTATTCTTTTTTCCTCTTAACTTTTCACCTTTACTCCTGATTTGCCAACTTAAATGATCTCCACTCAAACTTCTGTTTCTTGCAGCAAATTGTTTCCATTTATCAACAAAATATATATGCCTCACATTCTCTGGCATCTTTGAAATCACACGGTCTCACAGTGGCTGTCTGAATGCAGGCATTTCCCAAGTTCAAGCCTTCGCTCACGGCTTTCTTCCTACCCTTCTCTCTTGCAGAGTCTATTTTATTCACTTTACTCTAACCCTGCCCTGTACGAATGAACCCCAAATGCGCACTTGCAGCCCTAGCCTCCTCCTGAACCCCAAAGCCTCTCCCCTTTCCAATTCCTTGCTGAATGATTCCATTTGGACAGATAACCTCCTACTTACTTATGCTCATTTAAGTCTAGTTCTCCTTTTTCCCCGGCCTCAAAACATTGGAATCATCTCTCCTCCCTCCCCCAGATTACCATATATTCTAGCACCACGTCTCTCAATGCTAAAAGTATCACATCCTGAAGAATGCCAAGAAAATGAAAAGACCTTAGAGCAGTGGTTCTCAACCTTCTGGCCCTTTAAATACAGTTCCTCCTGTTGTGACCCAACCATAAAATTATTTTCGTTGCTACTTCAACACTGTAATGTTGCTACTGTTATGAATCGTAATGTAAATATCTGATATGCAGGATGGTCTTAGGCGACCCCTGTGAAAGGGTCGTTTGACCGCTAAAGGAGGTCGCAACCCACAGGTTGAGAACCACTGCCTTAGAGGAAAATGACAGTCACATATTACTGATGGTGCCAGCAGAGAGAAAAGAACTTCGTCTGAAAAGTAACGCTCACTGCTTTGTCCCTGTGCTTTTGCCTGCCAAAATCTCATCTTAATGGAGGAAAAGGAGCTGACTCTCCTTAGGTCTGGCATTTGAAGTCGCCCAAATTAAAGTTCTCCCTGCCTCCAGCCTCACCCCTGCACTGTTCTCTGTACGGGCAACCAACCTACTCTTCTCTCGACACCAGGATTTTACTATTCTAATTCACTAGGAACATCCTTTCTTTTCAAAACAGTCTTCTTCCTCTCCATCCAAGTCCTACAATCCTTACTAACCTGATATTTTGCCTAAACAACTGTATTAGGCACCATACGTCCTGTCCTCCTATCCTTCCCAAGCCCATAGCATGGACCTCCTGAACATGAGAACTATGCTCATGACCCAATTTAAAAAGCTCCATTTCCCCATTAGCTACGGGATATTATTTTCAATCCTCTCAATGAATATTTCATTTTAGAGGCTGAATCAGGTTGATTCCTACCACCTTCTTCCCCCTTATGCTTTGCCGTGCCTCCACCCTCATTTCTACCTCCCTGGGCCACTCTATTCTTCTGCGTAAGACCATATTTGTGAACGAAATGGCCTCCTTTCCATCTAGTCCTCTATCTTGTCTGCTGAATACAAAGCCAAGAGACGGTGCTTTTAAATCCTTGGCAGCGCCACCCCAGATCTGTGAATCACCATCTCCATTTTAACAAGATCCCCAGGCGATTCAAATACACATGATGTGTGAGAAGCACTGGGAAGAATCAGGACCTCTTTGTGTGTGCAGTGGGCCACACCTCCCTTTATGTTGCTTCTATCACAGCGTCTATTTACTATGTCTCTGGACTAGTTTCCCTGAGAATGGGAAGAACATCTTACTCCATTCTGTCCCTCAGGGCCCAGCAAAATGGATAGCATAGAGTGGGACTTAATATATGTTTGTTGAATTAATTTTTTTTTCAGGCCAAGAGTTAGGTATGGGAAGTAGGGAGAGGTGCGTAAAGGGGACAAACTTTCAGTTATCGATTGAGTAATGTCTGAGGTGCTAATGTAAAACATGGTGACTAAGGCTGATAACACCTAAGGTTGATAACTGAGATTTGCTATAGGTAAGAGCTGGAAACAGTCCAAGTGCACATCAGTAGATGAGTATACCAAAAAAGCTACGGTACATTTACACCATGGAATACTATGCAGCTGCAAAAAAAAAAAAAAAAAAAAAGGATCTCTTACCTTTTAAGACAGCATGGAGGGACCTGGAGAGTATTATGCTAAGCAAGATAACCCAGTAAGAGAAAGAAAAGTATCAAATGATCTCACTCATATGTGGAATCTAATGAACAAAATAAACAATGAACAAAATAGATCCAGAGACATAGAAGCAGAGAACTGTCAAATCTCAGAAGGAAGGTTGGATGGGGAAGAGATTAACCAGGAAACTTATATGCATATATGCACAGTCCATGTAACACAGACAATTGTGCAGTGAAGGCCTGGGAGGGATGAGTGTGGGGTGGAGGGGGTCAATGGGGAAAATAAGGAGGAGACATCTGCAATACTTTCCACAATAAAGATAAGTTTTAAAAAACTGCTAAGAGAGCAGAACTTCAATGTTCACACACACACACACACACACACACACACACAAAAGATAAATATATGAGGTGGATGTGTTAATTAATTTGATGGTGGGAACCCTTCCATAATGTATACACACATACAATCACCACAATGTACACTTTACATATCTTACAACTTTGTCAATTATACCTAAATCAGGCATTTATAATTATAAATATAGAATTACAATGGTGATAGTAATAAAACTATTAAAATTTCCTTTAAAGGCAAGAGTAAATAAATTTTAGTAATCTCATCATCTACACTGAAGCATTAAACACTTAACCAAATTTATTTGTCCTTTGTTAAGAGACTACAGCCTATTAGCTAAATAAAAGGAGACATTTTTCTTTACATTCCTTATGATGATTAGCAAGTAACAGATATTCAAATGTCCATTTGATTTTTAAATTTACAGCTAGCCACAAGTTTTACTTGATTTTGGAGGTATAGAAAAACAGGTTTTTAGAATATAAATTCATCAAATCGCTGCCCTTTAAGCAAAATCATTCTGATGAGTCATATCATCGAAACCAATGAACAAGGTTGGGCAAGCTACATATGAAAACTCTTGGGCCGCAGCCACATGCAATCAAGACTCAACAAGTTTAGAAAAATCAACTTATTTTTCAGAAAGGAATGTTTCACAGCATTGTTCCCAAAGGATTGAGGTTCACATACATTCCTCAGTGTGCCCTGGAGTTACTACAGACCTGTACCCTGATTCCAACACACAGCCTGGCACCAGAAGCAAGCGTACTCCCCAGTTATCATTCCTCTGACCTGCCCTACCCCCCTTTTAAAAGATGCTTGAGACAAAACAAAGAAACCAAGAAAGCTTAAAATGGATAAATGCTTAATGTAAAGTAGACTCTATAATTATTTTTATTCCTACACATCTGTAAGCTTTATGTATTCTTTAATTCTTTTAATTTTACTAAGAAAAAGAAACAAATTGAAGAAACCAGCACCTAAAATTGATGTTTTTCTATGGCTATGATGGAAAATTCTTTATGATACCATAATGATGTGTTTCCTGGGACTAGAAATTAAAGCTAAAGAATGAACTTCTAAATGGTCCTCCTTTGTTCTGACACTTACAAATGACTCATTCTCTAGGGGAAAGCTCCCAGGGCCTGCACAGGTTCGCACTGGAATCGCTCAGCCCCGTTTGGCCTCCTCCATTCTTTCAGGAAAGGCCTGGGAAAGAAGGTGGGTCCCACACTCCTCACAAAACACACTAACCGGAGAGGTTTCCAAAGCCACAGAAACACCTACCAGTCAAAGCAAGTTCTCATCTCTGCACTCCCAGCGAGACAAGAAGGACGTCAGCACGAGTACGTTTTTCACGAGGCCATTCAGCACTAAAAAGAATGGCTGGCTGCTTTTTACATTTGATAAAATTCATGAATTTTAATTAATAAAAAACAACTTGACTACTATATTACCTATGTTAGAAGACACAGGTCATCTTAATAAAAATCTGGACAACGGATTCACATATGGAGTTGTGTTACACAGGTATTACTTGCTTACATAGTAATGGTAACTGTATGTAATGGCAAAGCACGAATGTATAGGGAGGATGCTAGGAACGCCTGACATCTTACTATAGAAATCACTACCAAATGTTTTCCACAAAAATTACATACTAGAGAATACACTGTATCGCATCACATTAAAATATTTTGTTCTGTGACTTGCATTGCTTAGTAGGAGCACAGGTATCTTGGGGAAGAAAAAGGAAATGGGCTGGAGAGGAGGACAGTTTGCAGGCTAAAAACTTCAGACCTTAATGGCTGGCGGTGGGGACTGGAGGGAAGATGGAGAGGCAGGGGCACTGCAGCTTTCTTAGCATTTGCTTCTGAACTTGGTCACGTGATAGCATTGTGCAGAACTGACTGCAGGGAAGCATGTGAAATCAAGGAGACAACTTAGGAGGCCAATGCACTGCCAGGGCTTGGGCCCTGCAAATTTTAACTAGACAGCGAAAAGGAGACTGCTGAGGTCAGTACTATATGAATGACCTGT